GGGTCACCACCCTCAGGTTGAGAACCGCTATATTAGAGGAAGGGAGTAATAAGATTCTACTTCTTAGTTTAGGAAGATAATTCAATTTAAAGGTTGGGTTAGACCAGGAAGAAAATAAAGGAAGAGACATCAGCTCAAAGTTTGTTGCAATGATCCAGTTAAAAGATGAAATCTGAACTAATTAATAACAAACCAAAAAGTGAGCCCTTCTGGTATATCCATTATGTATTTTATATTCATTATATTTTAATCCTCACCACGCACCTCATTTTATAGCAAAGGAACTGAATCTCAGAAAGGGAAGCCAGGTTTCTAATCTCAGGCCTCGGTTTGTAGGACTCAAACTCTGTGCTCTGCTGCCTGAGGAGCAGTGGGGACAGAGGAGCAGGGGAAGCCCAGAGACCTAAGAGGTAGGGTGAACAGTGACCAAGGGAGGACCAGGGTGCAGCGTGGGGTGAAGGTGGGGAACAAGTAATGCTGCATTTGTTGCTGGGCCTGTTGAGTTTGCCGTGTTGTACGAGCCTGGTCTACTTGTTCCTTTAACTCATTCAGCCTGCAGAGGTTCGTTTTTCTTGTGATTGCGTCTTAGCAATGGCATTCTGCAGGAGGGAGATGAATGAGTATCAGTTTCTCCCCCATCCTTTCCAGCAGAGACCAGTTTCTTCTAATGATCCATCATTAAAGAATGTGATCCTAGACTTGCCTCCAAGTGGAGAGCTCAGCCACTGGAAATGCCTTTCACCATGTCAAAACACTCGCTCGTTTATGCTTTCATTCAGCAGAAAGCGCTGAATGACTGCAGTGGGCCAAGCACTGTGCTGGCTGCTGGCCCTTCTGGGAACTCACTGTCTATCAGGAAAGGAGGTGGACACTGTAGCTCACCAGAGAACCACCTACACGGTCTGAGGGGACCCTGACTTTGTGGTCAGGTGAGGCTCACAGATGGGGGGATATCTGGATTCCCTTTCCCTTAACCCAAGGGTATGGGTTATTTGACTATTAAAGAAAAATACCTCATGTTAATTCTTCATTATAAAAGTAACATGCTTTTTTATAAAGGATGATCAAAACAATCAAGGGTATAAAATAGAAGGTGGAAGCATCCTTGCATGGGTAAACTTTTGATAGGCAGCATTTTATTTTTACTACATATATATATGTACACAGAATCTTTAAGTGATTCATCCTGTACATGTTACTCTGTAACTTACATTTCCCCCCATTTGACAGTATTTTGTGGGCATCTTTTCCTGTCAGTTCATAGAGTACTACCATGTTCTTTTTTAGCAGGTATGCAGTATTTCCTTGTGAGGACATGGTATAATTTCAGTAGGACCTCCTTGATAGAGACTTAATCTTTCAGAGGGCCATTCTTTTAAACAGGACAGGGAAGGATGAGATAGCTCCAAGTTACTGACTTGTGAATGGGCTGGAGAGTAGCATGCTTCTGGATGGCAATTCTGTATGGGTCACATATGATGTTAAATGGAGCAGGTGGAAGCCAGGCCTATTGAGGAAACCCTGCCCAGACTCCCCTGGGGAATTTGGATGTTTTTCTAAAGGGGATGGTGGTGAGGGGCGGGGCATTGATGGATTTTGATGGAGGAACGAAGTGATCGGATTTGGATTTTTCTAAGATTACCAGGACAGACATGGGTGGGTGGCATTGAGGAGAAACTGAAAGCAGACAGCCCATTTCGGCCACCACTCCACCAGTCTGGGCCAGAGAGGATGGATAATGAGGAACCTCTCAGGGCCAGGGTCATGGGTACTAAGAGGTGAGGATGGAGTAAGGACACATCCAGGTTGGTGTGGATGAGATGTGGGGAATGGTCACGGGAAGAGAAGGACATCTGGAGTATGACATCTGGCCCAGGAGACTGGCTGGAGTAACCCAGACGGTACACAGAGGGGAGGGAGGGAAGGCAACTTAGAGAAAAGCTCAAGAAATTGGCTCGGCGCCCGTAGCACAGTGGTTATGGCGCTAGCCATGTCCACCGAGGGTAGTGGGTTCGAACCTGGCCCAGGCCTGCTGAACAACAATAACAACCATAACAAAAAGAAAAAAGAGTTGGGCGTTGTGGCCAGTGCCTGTAGTCCCAGCTACTTGGGAGGCTAGGGGAAGAGAATCGCTTAAGTCCAAGGGTTTGAGGTTGCTATGAGTAGTGACGTCATGACACTCTACCGAGGGCAACACAGTGAGACTCTGTCTCAAAAAAAAAAAAAAAAAGCTGAGGAATTCAGTTTTGTACTCTCTTCCTTTGCTTTCTCTCCTCCTCCTGTGCCACTTGATTAAAAGGGAAACTGTCCTCATAGGACAACACCTCCAAAGCTCCCCGATGAAGACCCCGGTGACCGTTTGACCAGCACCCCTGAGAGTATTCAAGGCCAGTGCATCTTTAGATGTATGACTACAGGTTATTCTGACCTGAAACTGTCTCCCCCACGTTTATTGAAAGGACAAACACTATCACTAGCAATCAGGTGCACATATACTTGTATTTTCAAAGTGTAAAGAGCTGGTAGGTCAAGACAAAAGCGTTTCCATGTTGCCTGTGAGGGGAGATCTTCAGAAGTCTTGGCCTAGGTGGCCTCAGTAGCCCAGCACCACTTGGCTGGTGTTAGACCAGCTGGGGCAGGCAGGAAGGAACACTCATGTTTGCTCAGTTACAATCAGCGACTCCTTCTTTGTGTAAAATGGTAATGAGGCCATTAGGAGAGGCTCACCTGAAGTGCAGCCTGGTGAATCCAAGGTAATTAAACACCTCCCGAATGAAAGAGAAAGGCCAGGGAGGGTTAAGTGAGGAATAATCTTCGGCACAGGTGGCCTGACACCTTTGAGGAGCCAGAAGAAGAGCGACAATGGCTTGCACCATTTCAAAGGAAATGTCACCCTCGTCCCTGGGAGGGGCAGAATTTTGTTATTTGGAGGGCAGGGAGTGGGTAATATTTTTAACATTTTAATAAAGCACATTCCTTTTTCATATTTCTATTTCAAGTAGAAAGTCTACAGTGGTCTGCCTGGGTGCTGAGTGGCCCACATTGCTCCTCATGGGTTCTCACAGCTGTGACACGGGGGCTTAGTGTCCCAGAAAAAGCAGAGGTCACAGTAAACCAGTTATATATACCCAGGTGTTGAGGTGGATTCCAAACTGCTCCTAGAGGAAAATCGTTTTCCATGCCCCACCGTGCAGCAGGGCTGGGTGGCCCCCACGGCACCTGCTCCCCTCCTTCCTTCCAAGATGTGGCGCTCCCCTTAGCAGCCACACCGGAGTCTTTCCCTGCACTGATTAACATTACCAGTGGCTTACTGTGAGCAAAGCGCCATGCTCTGTGGCTTCGTGTGCCCTGTCAGCTTATCTTCACTGCATAAGGTCTGGCCATAGAGGAGTTCTGCTCTTCAGTCTCACCTTGAAATCTCTGTTGTCTTCTCACAAGAGCTTGTGCATGAATCTTCACACTAGCATTCATTATAATAGCCAAAAAGTAGAAATAGCCAAATGTCCCGCTGACGAGCAGATAGATAAAATGTGGTCTATCCGTACCATGGGATATTATGCAGCCGTGGAGAGGAATGAAGCCTGCCACGTGCTGCCGTGTGATACACCTTGTTCAAAGCGAGCAGGATGCTGAGTGGAAGGATCCAGCACAGATGCCTCCCTACTGTGAAGTCCACTTCCGTGGAATGTCCAGAGTAGACACGCTCCCAGGCACTGAAGCTAGACTAGTGGTTGCCTGGCTTGCCTGGGGCTAGAGTAAAGTATGATTGGTGGGGAATGGAGAGTGACAGCTCACAAGTGTAGGTTTCCTCCTGGCGGGGTAACTTGTTCTAGAGTTAGACAGCAGTGATATCTGCACAACCTTTTGACAATAGCCATGTCCCATATATTTTTCTCACTAGAATGATACCTAAATGAGGGCAAGGCCTGTATCTGGTTTCACGTACCATTGTATCCACAATGGTAACATATTCCTGGGCATGTAGAAAATGGTAAATATTTGTTGAATGAATGAATGATTTGAGGTCACTATGTTGTGAAGTTTCAGGGGCAACTTTCGCATGGAACAGTGCAACTGGTGTGCTCTGAAGTGTGCAATGTGGCATCCTGAGGATGAACCAGAGGCATATTAGAAAGTCTGGAAAGCTTGATGTTGTCCCGACGTTGAAGGCAACAGCTACCATATTGCAGTCTTTCTTACTTACATTGACTGATGGGAAAATTCTCTTTTATTCTCACTTTCAAGGAAGTCTTTATTCATTTGAGCAAGTGGTTTGTTTATAACACAGGGACCCAGGGACTCACGTTTTTCCTTCTTTGCTTTGGCTACTAAGAATCTCTTAAGGCAAATTTTGAACCGATTTCTAACCACCTTGTGAGACCTTACATTGTAAGGCTGTACATTTATTACCGGCTACTGCATTTTCTCCATAGCCATCATTTTCTTATATTTTTTTTAACCTATTGCGTATTTACCTATAAGCCACCGTTCCTTCACGGTATGATATGTGAAATGTAGAAATAAGCCTTTTATTTTTAATATTTGCGAGTAGTTTCAAGAGGGAATGGAATTGGAACTAAAAGTCTTTGTGTAATTTGGGCTCAGATTATAAAACTTTGAGTCAAATTCCAACGTGGCCACTTGTAGGTGTGTGACCTAACCTCTCTGAGACTATTTTATCCTTGTAAGATGGGAACACTAATCCCTTCCTCACAGGATTGTTGAAGGAATTATATGTGAAAGTACTTACTTGGCATGTAGTAAGTGGTTAAATAATAGCTTTGTTTTGTTTTTATTAGACTTGCTCTTATAAGAGCAACATTCATTTAAATTCCAAAAACATGCCCTAATGCCAAACACATTTTTGTTCTCCCAGCAGGTGGGGTATAAAATCAATCCTCACTCCTTAGGATTTTCTAAGGTTCCGTGTGTACTGGGCTTGTCAGCCATCTGCCTTTGACCCTGTCCTCAACATGTGTTTCCTTTTTGTCTGTCACCAGATTTCTTCACTGAAGAACAGGCTAAAGAAGGTCTCCACAACCACCGGTGATGGCGTGGCCAGAGCGTTCCTCAAGGCCCAGGCCGCTTTCTTCGGCAGCTACCGAAACGCTCTGAAAATTGAGCCGGTGAGTAGCCTCTTGCCAGAGTCCGTGTTTGATCAGGGCCAAGAATCAGACCTCAGGGGCCACAAGAAATCTCACGACCCTTCTGGTTTTTTTAATTCACCAAGAGGACGTTGTATGTGTTTGTGGTGGGGGACGGCTGTTCTCTCCAGGCATTTACCTCTTAGCAGAAGGAAGCTGTGTGCTCATGTGACACACTCACTGCTCCAGTGCTGGCTCAGACCTCCCCCCACTCCACCCTGGGCAGTGACCACCAATTGCATGTTAGATGTATATCAGGCCCGTCATGCTCACTGATGTCACTGGGGATGTACAGTGCGCCTGGGGAATGGTAATGATCAGCTCCATTTGACAAAGGAGGAAGAATGACCAGCCATTGGAGGGGCCAGATGGGCCCAAAGCTCTGCTTTCCCCTGTGCCTGGCCACCCATGTCCTTTAATGGGATCTCCACTCTGCACTTGAAAGCAGAGCATCCTAGGAATTCACTTCTTGCTGGGTCCCATGAGCTGTCTTTATGTACGTGACTATAGGGCACAAGCAGATGGGGAGATGGTATTACCCACCCCAATGGCCCTGCCACCTCTTTGAGCCCCGTTTCCTGCCTTATGAAAGTTGTTGTGAGGATATGAGGACATCAGGTCTTCCCTGAAATCAAAGACAGTCCCAGTTCTCCCAGCTTCATTGAGAAGCTTTTGTTTGATAATTCTCTATTTAGCCTACTCTTGGCCTTCTGGCCAAGGAGAGTGGAAAAATTGGCCTAGGGGCGTGGGTCACCCCATATAGGAGAGAATGTTGCCGGCAACCTTGCTAACAGGCCTCTTCTCTCAGTGCAGGGGGCTCCCCTCATCCTGAACAGGCAAATGACTCAGCCACACCCAGCCTAGTTAGCGCAGTGCAAGAGTGGGTTGCACTGCCTGTAGGCCTGGGCTGTTCAGTTCTGGTTTTGTTTTAATCCGTATCATTTAATTAGATCAGATATCAGGCAATATATTTATGTAGAAAGCTGAGAGTAAACCGGGATCACACTCCTCACCAGCCACAGTTGCTGTATTGGTCAGTCTTTTCTTACTCTCTCACTCCACGGTGGGTGTAAATGAAACATGGAGTGAGAGCCAACACCTGCCTTCTCCTCACCCAGCACCTACTCTCTGTGGAGTGGCCAGGACAGTGGGTGCTCAGGGAGCATCATGCCGACACCACTCTCCTCCTCGTTTTCTACCCTGCACTTAGGCCCGAACTTCTAGGCAGCCTGAGTGCTGACCAATGTCATGGTCACCTAATACAAGGGATGCACACTCTCTTTTTGCTTCCCAAGAAGTACTTCCCTTAGGTTCTTTAAAGCCTGTCAGCTTAAAGCAAGTTCCTGTGCCCTGTTGTCTCAAAGTAAGGTGGTTCGGATTGTCATGACCTTGGTCCAGCCAAACCATTCACGTTCAGTGCCGTTCTGAGAGACGGCATAATTCAAGGAAGATACTGTTGTGTTCTCCTCTTGAAAATGGGAATGGGACAGCTGTCCCAGTCCTCTCCTTGAGCTGCTGAGAGCTAATAGACTTGAAGTGTTTCACTTACAGTTACCTCCTTGTCGGTATGTGTGTGTCTAGAATCCAGAAGCTGGTGAATCTTGGTACATATTGGTGGGTACGTGATCTGGGCACAAGTTGCTCCACAGGAAAAATTTGGGGTTGTACCTGTACTGGGCTCTGAACATACCGGATTTAAGGACAGAACTACAGAGTTTAAAACCGAATTCTGCACCTCTTAGCTGTGTAAAACCTGAGTGATCCACTTCATCTGTTACACTTTAGTTTCTTCACCTGCAGAATGAAGATAAGAATTCCTTCCTTTTCTATATCTCCAAGTTGTCATAGGATCAGATGAGCTATAACACATCTCATAAGAAAGGTGAAACTTGAACTGGGACTGTGAGTAAGGTTTAGAAAAAGAAGCACCCCTTCTTGCAGTGCATGAGAAGTTAACTAAAGAAACAAAAGCTTGGGCTTGGCGCCTGTAGCTCAACCGGCTAAGGCGCCAGCCATATACACCTAAGGTGGCGGGTTCGAATCCCCAGCCCGGACCCGCCAAA